AACGCCCTGGGGTTTAGCGAGGGATTTCTAAACTAGCATGCTCTATAAATCACAAAAACCAAAGCGGATTAACGTGGCTCTGAACATGTTAAACTTCGCCTTTGGAAGGCACTAGGTATGTTCTCCAGGTAAAGCGTGTCTTGTTCTGTGTTCTCAATGTTTCTGCTCAGATAGACTTGGATGTGGTCTCGGTGTCCGCTGTCAGGTAGTTAGCAATTCCTGTTTGGCTCTTTATCACCCGAAGTTTCTCTGAGGACATTTAACATTTTCTAGAGGAACGGCTTTCCAGGCTATTGTGGATTCGTAATTTTATTGCGTCATCTGCATTGAGTCTGGCGAGGTAGGGTTCCGCTTCTGAGTCTGTTCAGATACTTGTTTTGGCCTAATGGGTGGTCAGGCCTTCCAAGTTGTTTTGTGTATTTGGTGCATTTTTAGAGTGAGCTTTTTTTTTTTTTTTGAGAGAATCTTTTTTTTTTTTTTAATATATTTTATTGATTTTTTACAGAGAGGAAGGGAGAGAGATAGAGAGTTAGAAACATCGATGAGAGAGAAACATCGATCAGCTGCCTCCTGCACATCTCCTACTGGGGATGTGCCCGAAACCCAGGTACATGCCCTTGACCGGAATCGAACCTGGGACCTTTCAGTCCGCAGGCCGACGCTCTATCCACTGAGCCAAACCGGTTTTGGCATAGAGTGAGCTTTAAGAATTCCATTCCAGGCCTACATTTCCCTGGTGTGGCTGCTTGGCTTTGACATCCCGTGAGAGGTGACAACAGTCCTCGCAGTCAGTGCCGCTGCTGAGTGTGGTGCTGGGCGCTGGTGCTGCAGAGCGGGAGTGGCCGGGCAGGCAGAGCCCTGGGAAGCCGGTCCCTCTTGGATGCAGGCTTCTCGGAGGCCCCACACTGTCGGGAGGTTGTAGTCTGTTCCTGGTCGAAGTGGGCGTGTTCTCAGGTGGTGACGTCTCCAGGAAGGCCCCCCATTTCTGCCCATGTCAGCAGGGTCAGAGTCGGGGGTGAGGTTACTCCTCAGGCGGTCAGTGGCCCACAGGACATGCGCAGGGTTTCCTTTACTTTGGAGACTAGACCTACCCGTGAGCCTGCTTTCTTGGGCGAGTTTAGTGCAGACTGCATTTCCCGTCCATGAGGACGCGGGGCTCCCCTGGTGGTGGCTGGGCAGGGTCTGACCTCACGGCCCAGAGCCCATGACCCGGTAACCTTGGGTCCTGCCCCGCCCCCGCCCCCGCCCCCGCCCCCAGCATCAGAAGCCCAGCGGTGAGGAGGAGCCCCCGGCGGACAGCGTGCGGGACATCAGCGTCAGCACCCTCTACCTGGTCAGCACCACCGTGGACAGGATGAGCGATGTGAGTGTGCGCCCCGCCCCGCCCTGTGACTGACCACGCCCTTCCGGCCCCTGGGTCCAGGGCCTACTGACTGGCCAAGCCTCCTGAGCTCCGCGAGGCCTGCGGGGGTGGGGGTGGTGGGGAGCCTCCCCAAGGCTGTGGCCCCCGCGGCCGCTCTCCTAGGCCATTGCACTGCCCCTAG